GTCTCTGCAGCTGAAATAATATCCCATTTACTGAACCAAGTGGGAAATAGCAAGGCAGGCACAAAGGGTTTGCACCAGGTCTGGGGACACAGGGGACACCGTTTTAAAGGGGCCGTGTCCCCAACAAGTCTGGGGACACGGCCTTAAAGGGGCAGTGTCCCAATCTTCCTGATGTCCCAAAAAAGGTGTTTAAAGGGCCAGCACCAGTCACATAAAGAGTCCATAAGCCCCAATATGCCCACCGACAGTCTTAAAGGGCCATACACACCAAATAAAAGTGCATACATTTTCACAATCTCCCAGGGGCCATAGTCATGCGGGAGGAGGCTGGCAAGTAGGCTTCTCCACAACCTAGGGAAGCAGGGCAATTTGCCATTTAAAGGGCCCGTTACAAATAGCAGTTTGTAACAAGGTGTCAATCCATATCTGCCAAGTGACCCGATGTAGGGGACCAGTCCCTATTCTGCTCTGTGTCAGTGTGTATCAGGGAACCTTAGGACAGGTGTCAATCCATATCTGCCAAGTGACCCGATGTAGGGGGAACAGTCCCTATTCTGCTCTGTGTCAGTGTGTATCAGGGATCCTTAGGACAGGTGTCAATCCATATCTGCCAAGTGACCCTATGTAGGGGGATCAGTCTCTATTCTGCTCTGTGTCCGGTGCATCAGGGGCTCTGAGGACAGGTGTCAATCCATATGTCAAGGTGTCAATATGTCATATGTCAGGTGTCAATCCATATTGATTGTGATTTAGGAATGTTAGGTGATTTCTGCCCTTTATGGATTAAAACCAGACTCTGTATCAACTGTGTAATTTTCCATGGGAGTTTTGCCATGGATCCCCCTCCGGCATGCCACAGTCCAGGTGTTAGTCCCTTGAAACAACTTTTCCATCCCTATTGTGGCCAGAAAGAGTCCCTGTGTGTTTTAAAATTCGCCTCCCCATTGAAGTCAATGGCGTTTCGGGCGGTTCGCCGGTTCGCGAACATTTGCGGAAGTTCGCGTTCGCCGTTCGCAAACCGAAAATTTCCGGTTCGCGACATCACTAGTGGTGACCACAGACCACTTCTCAGTTCCTATGCTTCCTGGCTGATGTTTTGATCACTTTTGAATGCTGGTGGTGCTTTCACTCTAGTGGTAGCATGAGACGGAGTCTACAACCCACACAAGTGGCTCAGGTAGTGCAGCTCATCCAGGATGGCACATCAATGCGAGCCGTGGCAAGAAGGTTTGCTGTGTCTGTCAGCGTAGTGTCCAGAGTATGGAGGCGCTACCAGGAGACAGGCCAGTACATCAGGAGACGTGGAGGAGGCCGTAGGAGGGGAACAACCCAGCAGCAGGACCGCTACCTCTGCCTTTGTGCAAGGAGGAACAGGAAGAGCACTGCCAGAGCCCTGCAAAATGACCTCCAGCAGGCCACAAATGTGCATGTGTCTGCTCAAACGGTCAGAAACAGACTCCATGAGGGTGGTATGAGGGCCGACGTCCACAGGTTGGGGTTGTGCTTACAGCCCAACACCATGCAGGACCTTGGCATTTGCCAGAGAACGCCAAGATTGGCAACTGGGGCCCTGTGCTCTTCACAGATGAAAGCAGGTTCAAACTGAGCACATGTGACAGGCGTGACAGAGTCTGGAGACGCCGTGGAGAATGTTTTGCTGCCTGCAACATCCTCCAGCATGACCGGTTTGGCAGTGGGTGGTTTTTAAACTGCTAGTCCATTGTTTTCTTTGATATTAGCTTTCTTTCTCATTCTCGCCAATCTCTGACTTAAACAATGAAAGACGTAAAGATAAAATGTATAAATAAAGGTGATGCAAGATTAACCTGAACACACATAATATTTAAGGTATAAATAAACCAGGCATGGTTAATCAAATAAGAAGACATGCTATTTACATTGTGCAACAATATTTTGCTTTAAAAAGTTCTATTATATACAACAGACCTGAAATGCGTTGGGATCGGCAATAGCTCCAACTTGCTAATTGTTACATGCATTTCTTGAATTATGAAACTCATCTATTACAATATCTCAGATTTGTGGACATCTTCATTATTTGATCGGGACGAGCGTCAGCAATGGATAATATGTCCAACACATGGAATGAATAGGAATCTTCTATCCAACTGAGTCTCACATAACGCAGACAAGATACAATTCTTAGATGTGGAAGTATGTCACACACAAAATAGGGTAGGTTAAACATTGTACAAAAAAACTGCAGACCCTTACACTTTACTCCAGGCCAACAGCTTTCACCCAACATCCATAAAAAATTACCTTCCAATTTCACAGTTCCTCAGAGTGTTGATGAATAATTTGGACCATAGTAAGAGTGAAGTACAAATTTAATCTATGAGTCCAAAACAGTCCATTTTGGAATGTGGATATTCCAAAACAATATTTTGCCAATCTCAGGCCAGGGCGAATTCGATTTTCAAGAAGCGTAATCTGGGGGAAGGATCAATCATCATGAGGATCCTAGGATCACAATACCTCTTTTATACCACTTATCCAGCAGCAAAAATTCACAAGTCATTAGAATATGGGATTTATGGTCCTCAGATCACAAAATGAATCCAAGCTTTTCACGGCCTCCAGGGATTGCATTCAAAAGCAACAAAAGCCAGAGGGACATTCTGGTTAAAAGTGATATTTCCAGTCATTATAATAACATGTTAGTAAGAAAGGTTGTTTTAAATGTTCTGGTTGTGTAGAATGCAGACATCTGCTTACAGGATCCTCTTTTGAACATCCACATTCAGGCTAAAGATTCTATATTCAACATTCGATTACATGTCTCAATGACCACGTTATATATTTGATTTCCTGTCCTTTCTCACAAGTGAAAAACAGATTTGACTCTTCGTGATCGTATACATGGGAATAGATCAGGGATTATTACTGCCTACAGGGATGGCAAGACTGATAAACCCGTGGCCAAACACTTTTTGGAGTTACAACATAGAGTGCCCACACTCAAATTCATAGCAATAGATCATATTTCCCCCTATCTAGGGGAGGAATAGATCTAGATTGCTATTACAAAATGAGACATTTTAGATAAAGTCCTACGATACAGTATATCCCAGGGGCCTTAATAAATATGTTTGGCTATATGCTTTTTAAACTGCTAGTCCATTGTTTTCTTTGATAGTAGCTTTCTTTCTCATTTCAGATTGTTTGAGGGCCAATCTGCTATATGTAGGATCTGTGTCGGCAGAATCAATAATTTAGGCTTTTGACATTACTTCCATAGATTTATTTAATTTATATATGCCTTGTGGCACTTATAGATTTGGTCACTAGGTTATTATCATTGCATTAATTTGTTGGATTGATTGTTATAATTCTGTCCGTTGAGAATCTTGTGTCATAGTTATTTTGTTAGTATTTCCATGATAGATGAGTATGTATTTTGAATCAATGTATATATATATTTTGCTTTCTCTCCTTAAACCCCTGCCTGACATAGTTATGTGTAGTAGGAGCTAGCTATGAGTTATATGTGTTACCCATGTCATCCATTGCTGAAGCTAATCTCGACCAAATAATGAATTTTAATTCTTATGTGTCTAGTTTGCTATACGAGTGTGTCCCTTCTGGGCCCGGTCATGCGGGGCCTCACTATGTTATCTAGATGGTACAAATGTCATCGCTTGAGCTGTATTGATTGTGGGTCCAGGGCACAATAGGGAGTTACATGGACCAGCAAGTACTAGTGGAGAAAGCGAGTAGGTAACGGGTCTAGGGTGCATACTCAGCAAGGAATTTCACTGAAAGTATTTAGTGGCCTTCGCATGGTGAACTAATAGCCTATTGTTCCAGGGTGGCTCAGTGCGTGTTATCGATGGGCTGAAGGGTAACCGATTCTATATTAACTAGAAATGCACCTCCTGCCTGTTTCATGGTTTGGTGCACTTCTCCTGCGAATTTGGAGGTGGGGGGAGGAGTCACTGGGGCCTCAAGGACATGTTTGGCTTCAGAGTGGATTAAGAGCAGTATGGATTTTTAATTTTTTGTTGAGGGCAGCAATCCACTTGTAGTGTTTGTCAGGCTAAAATCTTCAGAGGAGTCTGAGTTTTAAAAATCCAGTGAGTGCTCTCATTCTGTTGGGATTTATACTTTCGGCAACATGGTTATGTTCACTTATTTGCTTACTTGGTTGGAGTGCCAGGCTATAATCAAACGATTATATATTAATATATATATTATTGAATACATTGAAAATATGTATGCTCCCCTATCTGCTACTTCAATATATATTATTGAATATATATATATATATTTTTTCCAATGTATTGAAGTTGCAGATTGAGGAGCATATCCTAATATCTTTAATACTATGATTTGCTATGAAAGAAGGAATAAAAGAATACATTTTATCTAAATAAGGAAGAGTATGGCAGTGTTCAAAGGCTACTATAGAGGAAAGATATCAAAGAAGCTGAAAAAGTGAGTGCAATCGCAATTAAATTAAAAAATTATTATTTGGAGGAAACATTGAATTTCTGGTGGTGTGGATGCTTATGCACAACTTTTTTTTTAACATCAGAGGTTGGTATTCAACAATTTAATGAAGGATCAAATACCAATATCATCATTTGTTTAAAAATAAAAATTCATTCATTCATTCATTTCATATATTTATTAATTATCTCGTTTATATAATATTCATTACTATCTTTCATGAGGAAATTAAGAATGACTTATTGTTCCTTTACATTTTCCCAAGGCATTCATACCTCACAAACTAAAACAGTGTACAATTCTAGTTTTACTTTAATGAACGTGGGATTCCGTACACCAGCATTACTTCAAACATTTACTCCACGGAACACTCCAACCGAGAAGGGCATACTGTTTTTATAGTCATTAACATAAAAAGTTTTATTCAGTTTGGGTAAATCCAAATGGAAAAGAAATAGCTGTGGAGTTAAATATAGCGGTGACTCCATCGTTTTAACAATTACATTTTCCAGTTTGTTTCTCAGGGACAAAAGTTTTATACAATCACACCATATATGTTTATCTATTCCTCTATTTAAATTATATCTCCAACAGGTATTTGTACGTTAGATTGAAATTTGGAAACGATAGCAGGCATCAAGTACCATCTACGCAGTATCTAATTATCATAGTATTTTTATGCTATGCATTGTTCTTTTTATGAGTACAAATATCTTGGCCTACTCATCTGCTGAGAACCCCTCCTCCATTTCATGTTCCCATTTAATAATGGTGTTTCATTTCCTTTTGGGTTTATGTAAATATAAGATCTTATTAATTCTGAAAGTGAGAATGTCAATTCCTTCCACCGAATAAATAGTGTCAAGAATACTTATTTTATTTCTGAGCGATTTTTTTAATTTTAGGTTTGTTAAAAATTCCTTCTTTAGGGAGACATCCCCTTCCTTCATTTCAAAGAAAGTTTTTATTTTATTTTATAAAGAGATCTCCCACATAATTGTTGTCTTTCCATTTAGATATATTTGCCTCAGATAAATATACTGACAGTATTTCTATAGGACTCAGAAAGGATAGATGATTTTTTTATACCAAGTAGTATTTTGATATAATTTATAGACTTAAATACATCAACAACAATTTTGTTTGGAATGAAATTTTTTTTAAAAGCTACATTATCCATCCAAATTGTCTATTTTTAGATATCCTCAAAGGCATTGAACGCAATAAATATTCGATGTTAGGCATTATATAATCTTTGATAACACTAATTCTACTCATCCAGGATATAAATAGGGGTTTCCATTTAGTGAAGGAGTTGTTTATTTCTTAAAGAGGAGTGGAGTAGATAGGCAAAATAATTTTGTTACAGGTAAAGCCTAAGTTGATCCCTAAATAATTCAAAGTCTCAGAGGCCCAGTTACCGTATATACTCGAGTATAAGCCGAGTTTTTCAGCACATTTTTTGTGCTGAAAAACCCCAACTCGGCTTATACTCGAGTCACTGTCTGTATTATGGCAATTTACATTAATTTACATTGCCATAATACAGACTGGGGGCTGGCAGAGCTGTTACTTACCTATCCTGCAGCTCCTGTCAGCTCTCTCCGCCTCCGCGCCGGTCCGGTCAGCACCTCGGTCAGCTCCCAGTGTAAGTCTCGCGAGAGCCGCGGGGTCATAGTGCGGCTCTCGCGAGACTTACAGTGTGAGCTGACAGAGGAGCTGCACGGACCGGCGCGGAGGAGGAGAGAGCTGACAGGAGCTGCAGGAGAGGTAAGTTACAGCTCTGCCAGCCCCCCTCTTCCCCCCACTGAACTGCTAATGCCACTGGACCACCAGGGAAGGAGAGCCCCCCTCCCTGCCATGTATCAAGCAGGGAGGGGGGACAACAAAATAAATAATATATAAATAATAAAAATAATAATAAAAAAAAAAAAATTAAAATAATATTATTATTATTTTTTTTTTAAATGCCCACCCCCCCACCAAGGCTCTCCAACACAAACACACACTGCATCACACACACACACACACACACTGCATTCATACACAAACACTGCATTCATACACACACTGCACTCATATACACACTGCACTCATACACAAACACTGCATTCATACACACACTGCACTCATATACACACACTGCATTCATACACACAATGCACTCATATACACACACTGCATTCATACACACACTGCACTCATACACACACTGCACTCATACACACACACTGCACTCATATACACACACTGCATTCATACACACACTGCACTCATACACACACGGCACTCATACACAAACACTGCATTCATACACACACTGCACTCATACACACACTGCACTCATACACACACTGCACTCCTTGCACCACACACACTCATACACAAACACTGCATTCATACACACACACTGCATTCATACACACACTCACAAACACTGCATTCATACACACACTGCAATACACACACTGCATTCCGGCACTCATATACACACTGCATTCATGCACACACTGCACTCATATACACACACTGCATTCATACACACTGCATTCATACACACACTGCACTCATATACACACACTGCATTCATACACACACTGCACTCATACACACACTGCATTCATACACACACACTGCACTCATACACACACACTGCACACTCATACACACACACTGCATTCATCATATACACACACTGTAAATAAATATTCAATTAATATAATTTTTTAGGATCTAATTTTATTTAGAAATTTACCAGTAGCTGCTGCATTTCCCACCCTAGTCTTATACTCGAGTCAATACGTTTTCCCAGTTTTTTGGGGTAAAATTAGGGGCCTCGGCTTATATTCGGGTCGGCTTATACTCGAGTATATACGGTAAGTTCATATTTCTCTTTAAGGCCAAATATATCTGAATCGAGCATGTTTGATTGAATAGTATAAGATTTACTTAGATTAAGTTTATAATTTGACAAAATGCTACACTCATTTATGCATTTACGTGTAGCTGGTATAGATTTTTAGGAACTTAGACGAGTGTGTATATATTATTATATACTGATGGAGAACTTAATAAAAGTCTTGCTTCTAGGTTTAATTTGCAGTTTAAAGCTTTACTGAAGAGCGCCAAAAAGAAAAAGGTCTGTTGCAATTATTTGTTTATTAGGTATACAAATTTCTCACTATTTTACTTCCTATCAAATTTCATTAACATCTAACAAGACCACCAAATAGACCTATAATATGTATAGTGAATTCCATTACAGCTAAGTTCGTGGAATTCATTGATCATAAACAGGGCTCGAGTCCTGCAGGACGATGTTCCCACACTTTTTTACAGCAGGAACGCCGTTCCCGTTAGAAGTCCTGCAGGGCCTGCCCTTTGTAGCAGAGGGGAAAAGACTGAGCAGCAGGCTGGAGCAGAGGGCAGACTCCCAGCAGGAGAGGAACATTGGAAGAACTTGCATCTCAAGTTAGGCAGAGGGAACAAGCCAGCATTGAAGGACACCTAGTCACCAGCATGCGATTAATGACCCCAGCACTCAACTCAACTCCTGTCACCAGGGAGCACAAGAGAGAACACAGCCCCCTGTGCATTAAACTTATTGTATAGCAAGCCCCATGGGACAGTGACCGGGCAACTGCAGCATCTGAGGGGTAAGTCCTGATAACTATGGACTGTCCTGTTCTAATAGATTTTGTTTTATTAGTTGAGATGTGTTATGCAGCATTTCTTTCGGCATTTTGAACAATTTATTGCCTTGCAGACTGCATTGAATGGCTTATATGCACCCCATGTCTGCATGCAGTTGGTGTATATGCAGAGCAAGGCTGCAGACTGCAATTGGACAATATATTTAATTTTAAAAGAATGTATGTGTGATTAACGATGGGAAATTATTTTTTATGACCATGCAGGGTGTAAATGAATAATGCATGTTGTAGCGGAGAGCTGGTCTTTCACAGGTTAACTCCACTAAAGATCCCAGTGAGGCTCAGGAACAAGTAATAAAATCCCATATAATAATAAGTACAGCAAGCAAGGTAATCCACGAATATCCCCATACAGATCCCGATGATTGGACGACACACAGCATCAGGAGCAGAACTGAACTTTTAATCACTCAACCTTCTTTTAAAGCTTTCTCCAATGCAAGGGAGGGATTCACAGTAATTATTACAGTAGTCAATAGTATAACGGTTACCTCACACACATCTCCTCCCCTCAGTGTGACACATAATCCAATTAAACATACTGTAGTTTTCCCCGAGTTCTGGATGTACCCCAAAAGAAGCAGCTAGAATAATATTTTGGGTACCCCCTTGTAGCCCAGATCTGGGTGACTAACATATTCAAAATTCACCCATATTGGACCAGGGGTTCGGGAGTTAGGTGGAAGGTGAAATTTTACCGACCGCACACGAGGTGGTATCCGAAAAAGGCTCCATGTGTTTTGGCCCTGCGGTCGGTCTCCGTTCGGTAGTTAAAACATACAGTAATCCTTGCCATCCAGAGACAATCTTCTATTCGTCTGTATTCCCTTGTTTGGTACATTTATTTTACCAAATGAGGGGCTGACTGGCCCCTCCGTTCGGGAGTTATGGAGCTCTGGAGGTCTCAGCGGTGTTCGGGTGTTTGAGTGTCCGATTTGAGTTCCAGACACTCGACGACCAAACACCGCTGAGAATTTCTTGCGTAAGATGGCCGCCACACGGTTCGTATGCCGAACGGCGACCACACAGGTACATACAATATATCAATTTCACGGTCCATTAAGCTGCGGTTACAGAGTGTGAAAGCTTAACGAGGTGCACACTTCTCACTGGGGTGGTCTGATGGTTCGGTAGTTTCATTCGTATGAAAACGAATGAAAAAGGTAGGGGATTAACCCCTTCCTCACTCTAGAGCCCGGCGGGAGGGACCCAGAGGGTGATGGGGACCCAAGGACTCTATAGTGCCAGGAAAACATACTTGTTTTCCTGGCACTATAGTGGTCCTTTATAATGTGTTTCTAATATAGCTTGGTTACTACATCTAAGTGCTGCTTCAAAGTGTGTGATTGGAGATATTCTGGAGAGTTTTACAAAATCTTCAACTTTCTAAGATTTTGCTAAGAGTTTTCTTTTTTACTGTTACAGGTAAGATTCATCTATAGGAAAAAGTTACTGATTGCACAAGGTTTGATTTCCTGTTGGTAATTGGTAAGCCATTTGATTTGATTAGCCATGTGCTTGCTATTGATTGTTGGTTAATTAGCTATTGTTTGCAAATAAGCATAAGCATAAGCATGATATTGCAGAAGGTCTTGATGGTAAGGTATGTCTTTTTGCTGATGATACTAAGATATGTAACAGGGTTGATGCTCCAGGAGGGATAAGCCAAATGGCAAATGATTTAGGTAAACTAAAAAAATGGTCAGAGTTATGGCAACTGACATTTAATGTGGATAAGTGCATGATAATGCATCTTGGACATAAAAACCCAAGGGCAGAGTACAGAATATTTGATAGAGTCCTAACCTCAACATTTGAGGAAAGGGATTTAGGGGTGATTATTTCTGATGACTTAAAGGTAGGCAGACAATGTAATAGAGCAGCAGGAAATTGGTTGTATAGGGAGAGGTATTAGCAGTAGAAAGATGAAAGTGCTCATGCCATGGTACAGAACACTGGTGAGATCTCACTTAGAGTATTGTACGCAGTACTGGAGACCTTATCTCCAGAAGGATATTGATACTTTAGAGAAGGGCTACTAAACTGGTTCATGGATTGCAGGATAAAACTTACAAGGAAAGGTTAAAGGAACTTAACATGTATAGCTTGGAGGAAAGACGAGACAGGGGGGATATGATAGAAACATTTAAATACATAAAGGGAATCAACACACAAGGAGGAGGCTATATTTAAAATGAGAAAAACTACCACAAAAAGATAAGCAAATATATTTTTTTGCCTAGATAAGCAAATATATTTTTATACTTCTTTTTCTCTCCTATTCACTGGTTGACTGATATCACATCATTGTAATATATTTATTACACATATTTTATTAGTAAGTGAATTGCTTGTTAGTGGTTGTGGATATTCAAAAAAATATTTAAGTAATTTGACCCCAAGATTTTTCCAAGTGAACATTTAGCTAGTTTAATAATTTTTTGTAATATTATTCAATAATTTTATAATTATATTATACAATTACATATTTTTGTAATTCAAAATAGATTCTTCTGAAACTGCTGCTATACTGTATGACAATATGGTTTAAAATAATTCTTATATTACTGTCATAGTCTGTAAAGTATAAGGCTACATTTACATATTTATATAAAATACTTCTAGAAGGTAATAATGTGTTCAAAATATTCAGAAATAAATATACATTTTAAAGATAAGAAATATATTGTTATTCAATAATAATTGCCTATTATCATTTGTATTTCAACAGGTAAAAGTCTTCTGAAAAATACATAGAAATGAAATTAAAAAATGCTTTGCCATAGTTCTCCTCCTAAATTCTAAGAATTGCAAAGAGGACACGATGACTAATCCAACTACACAAGGGATTTTTTCACGATAATTTATTTATGTCTAAAGTATATTTTGCAAACCCTGAAGCAAAATGATCTCAAACATTTAAATTAATTTATATTGTCTTTTCCTGTAGAGAGAGAATTGAACATGTGCTTTAATCATATGTTTATAAATAAATATAACCTCTTAACTAACTGCAGGTTTTTGTCTGTTAAAAATGATTAGATATGAGTAAAAAGGGCAATTTAGTACTTAGTATAGCAATAAACTATTCTTTATGGTAGTTGTTTTATTTTGCTTTAAACTGTTTTTTTAATATACATATATACATTAATACTGTGACTGTACAACCCATTAAAACTATTTATTATATTACAGTGAGGTCCATTTAAAATTATATAATATATCATATATAGCATAATATATCTCGCTCTTATATTTTATGATAGACTTGATTAGACTTGATTTACTTGTTTAATGTGTCACTACAGAAAAAAGTGTATATATATATATATATAAAAAATATAAAAATATTAAATAAATATGTATATATATATATATTATTTCCATATACTTAAAAATATATATACTTTTTTTTATATATATAACAGACGTATTAATGACACATGGTGCATGTGTGACAATTGCTGTAATCAAACAATCCAATACGTTTCTATGAAAATAATTGAATCAATATAAAGAGAAGAATTGGAAACACAAAGCATCCACCATCAGCTTTTTTTGTATAGTAGTACCAGACATCTAATAGATTCAATAACTGAATCTTTTTTAGTCCAAACCCCATAATGATTTTCTGTCTGACAGACACTAGCAAGTGAGAAAATTCTAAAATTACAAAAAAAACAACACTGTTTACATTTGCAAGGTTGCAGGAGAAAGCATCCATGGTCAAACTCACTTAAATAAAATGGAAAACCTTTAAAATGTCTCCGCAGCAATAGTCTATGCTTCATACAACATGTCGAAAACCGGTCTTTACAATTTAACAATCAAATAAAAGATTTAACAGCGCGTACTCAGAAAGTTCAAATAACCATTTCTGGATTCCTGCTCAGTGGAATTCTGTGAGTTTCAGACTCTGGTTGTTGTCATCACATATTTCATGGAAGCATATTTTGTCAATGACTACCTCTAAGTGTTTGAAAAATTATATATAATTCAAAAATGGCCATCTCCACCTCGATCAGCTAAAGGTACTACAGCATGCTTAGATGGAAATAATATTTATTTATTTACATTATTGTTTTAAACAAATTTGGTGACAGTGTCACTTCAAACGTGTGTAATATAATGTTTTAATTCTGGTCTAAGTAAAAACATTCAATTGTTAGTTGTTCTAGGTGTTGGCTAGCATGATGCCGATATAATCAAGTATTTGTCACTAGAGATGTCGCGAACCGTCCGCAAACAGTTCGCCACGAGCTGTTCGCGGCGAACTCCGGTCAGCTGACACGTCCCGGCCAATCTCCAGCAGACCCTCCCTCCCAGACCCTCCCACGTTTCAACATGGATGCTGTCCAGGAAGTAGGAGGGTCTGGGAGGGAGGGTCTGCTGGAGATTGGCCGGGACGTGTCAGCTGACCGGAGTTCAGCGAAAAGCGGGGAAACGTTCGCGAGAAGTTTGCGGACGGTTCGCGTCATCTCTATTTGTCACTAAGACCACCAATTGCACCAATATTCACAGCATTTATTGACACAAATTGATGTTCATTTTGCATGACACTACTCCACGTTTTTTAAACACCATTTAATTTTTGATCAACATATCGGAAGTCTTTGAATATGTTAATCAAAAATTAAAATTGTATATAAAATGTTGAGTAGTCTACACTAAGAATATATGTGCACAAAGAATATTGAGAATTTTCTTCTTTGCCAATCATCAATTTCGTCTTTCACCAAGATAAATAATTTAAAGACCACTGAACTATGTTAAGAATAACAAACACAGAACAGACGAGTATGTTTTGTCTTTCTCACTAAGTAGCCATGTCTGTTGGGCAGCTGTAAGGCACTGTTGCTGCAGAGCAATTGACAAAGTAGCTTGTGTCTAAAAATCTGACCGTAATTAAAATGTCAAACCATGCTACAGTAACCTTTATAAAGCAAGCCTTTCTATAGTGTAATAAAAGCTTCCTTTAGTTTATTATACATAAAGATATAACTACATGGCACCAGCAATAGAACTAATCGTAAACTGAACAGACAATAATAAATTCACTTTTATCTCTGTATCCCTGTTGTGACTATTCTGAAGAAAATATCAAACTTCGTAGCCTCCTGTAAAGTGTGTGTGTGTGTCTAACCTATGGCAATATTATCCTCTTCATCCAGGCAAATATATAGTGTGATTTTGATAACAGAGGTATTTCCTGGGATTTTGAAGTAGTAGTAGTAGTAGTGTTACCTAGGTAAATATAATATAGGTGTTCAGAATACAATTGTGCACACTTGGAAGGCAGATGGTGATATGCAAAATGCATCTTGTTTTTTTCAGTTGTTATCAATAGAATACATATGAGGCCTTAAATGTTGCGCTTGAAGCATTTTATTTAAAATTAAAGTTATTGATGAATGTACCTGATGGGCTCTATTGTTCAACCATTCCATCTTCAAAGCTATTGATGAAAGTGTGTAGTGAAACCAGTGGTTTGCAACACTTCAGATCTCTCTTGTCTCATAGCCTTGGGAAGCAATAAGGTTATTTGCTAAAGTGAGAAGTCAAAGTGAATTTCAGATTTAAAGAAAAAGTAACCAGACTAGAAACCTGGAGCACTTTTCTAGTTTTGCAATTTTGGCCTCAAATTTGAACTTGAGTGCCCAACAATGCTCTCTCTAGGGAATAACCCTGCTAGAGTCACAGAAAGGGAGTAGGCAAGAGATAAATAAAAAAGATAAAGGATATTAGGTCGCGCCAAAAATTATTAAAAAGTATAATAAAACTAACGTGAGAAAAATAAACTAAAGATAAAAAGAGTAATGTTATAAAAAGCTATAAAAAACAATAAATAAGAAAGCAACACAAAAAGTACTTACATATACACTAGTACAAAAGAACATAAATAAGTCCTTGGATAAGCTTAAAATGGTAAAATCCACTTGAGGAGTTATAAAAGAGATAATAGTCCAAACGAAGAAGTAGTCAAGAGTTTCTTGTTCCAAATGGCGATATGTAAAATAGAACAGAGGAAGATTCCAATAGTGTAGTCTATAACTTAAAATTCTTATGTGTAGATTCAAGGTAATAAGGTATCCCACTCACCTATTTAAGAGCTTGAACTAGCTCAGGTTTACTTCGCATTCAGTGGTATAAATCCCCCAATGATGGGGTGCAGGCATGCGCACGTGGAGAAAATCGAGGATTTTCTCCACGTGCGCATGCCTGCACCCCATGGGGTGCAGGCATGCACAGGTTTGTACATGTCAGTCATATTATTGAAAGTACTTTCAATTATATGATTGACATGTACAAACAGTCCTCAAAGTGATAACAATAAACAAAGTCCTATTTAACCTATATAAATGCCAAGGTTATATTAAAGTGACACTATAAGCATAGTAACAAACTGTGGCCTGAATTTAATATTGTTGAATATTGTATTTAAAATGATCTTTTTCAGAATATCAAACTATTACAAATATATCATATGTAAAAAATTATATCAGTATAGCAAAAAATATGAAAATATAGCAAAATGTTAATATTTTTCATAATAGTAAATCATTTTAAAAGTGTATGCAAAAATATTAAATCATTTGAAAACCTCATCCAACAATATTAAATTGATGCCCATATGTTTGTTACATTGGGGCACTACATTAGGAACCTGCCTCTTCTCCCCCTTACAGTGTAGTTCTTCCCATTAATCTCACTAAGACTAAGTACAAAAGGCAGTTTATTAAAAGGTTCACCTTGTCATCACTATCCATTTTACTATGCCATGAGAGCAACAAATAAAAATATGAATACAATAAATACAACATAAAACTTGCTCCTTGCATCTTTAACATAGGTTTAATAGCTTGAAATCAATTGTAGTATGACTTTATGCTATTCAACCTAAGGGCAAGTTTGTCATAGTACGCTATACATTCAAACATAGTAACAAATATTTAACATCTGCATGAAATAACTGATGTAACATACAATAACTTGAATATTAAGCTGTTACCTTTCACTTGTTGGCTCCTGTTTCTGAAGCACAAGACATGCAATGCCCACCATATGACATGCATGCGCAAGACCACGAACTAGCGTGATGGTGCAAAGCACATTATTATTATTATTATTATTTTATTATTTATATAGCACCATCAGACTCCATAGCGCTGTACAATGGGTGGACTAACAGACATGTAATTGCAACCAGACAACTGGACATACAGGGAGTGGAGGGCCCTGCTCCATGAGCTTACATTCTAGAGCCACAGAACAAGAGCATGAGCCATAGCATAGTGACATTGGGGAAGACAAGAAACATTTCTATAGTAATACTTGTTTTTGCCCCTCTTTGGAAGGTGAGGAGTTTGTGTAATGTGTTTTGCTTTTCATAGTAATGTATCTATGTTTGACACTTCTTGTTTTCATCTTTTCTGTTCCTCAGTTTCTATAGAAATGTTTCTTGCCCTCCCTGGCATCACTACAGTATAATGCTTGCGTGGGTTGTGTGTCAACACACTATTATGCATGCGAGCCATGTGGTGGGCATTACGCATCTTTGCATGTGGTTGGGATGTGCTTTTTTTTTTTGAGCCTTGCCTTATTACTGGCGCCTATGCTATTTAATACAAGTGGAAATATGAGGTAAGTGATTATTGACACATTGTTTTATTACACACAATGTATAGGTGTACTTTGTGGTATTAACTTGAAAAGACCTCTGTGGAGGTCGAATTGTTGTTGTATACATGATGGTCTAATAAATCTGTTTAATATTGAGCACTGATGAAACTGTTTTTGGATGTTCTATTTGCAAGGAATTTGCTGGCCTGGGCTCAGTTAGCTCCTTTGTGGCTCATTTGGATGAGTTTGGTTCCTGCTTGTTTCAATGGACATGAACTTAGACATAGCTCAGTTTTAGGTTTTTGTGGTGTTATCTCAAAATGTGATTATTTCCATATTTTTCATAAGCTTAGCTACAGGAAAGACAAGTTTTACCAAACCTGCCCTGTACAACCTACCATAGTTACAGTGAAAATTGGGATACATGTAGAATGTACCACACGTTTGCATTTACATTTTCCACTATGCAGTTGAATCAAAAGGATATGCGAGGATTGTCAAGGCAAATTATAGAAAAAAAACAGAAACTGACAACAAAATATGCAATACATTAGGAACATGGACAAAAAAAAAAGTATTAATAAGTACCCAGGACTCACAGCACACATCCCTGCAGGACTTGCCATAAGCAGAGTTGGGAGAATTTTGAATGCAGTTGTATGTGGGAGATAATAGGAAGACTATGCTCATTAGATAAAGAAAAACAGACAGAACAAAGAGATGCACCTGTAACCGGACATGTTTTAAACTGTTATGATGATAAGACTTACATCTATCTTCTGTCCGTACTCCCACCTCTGATGCTCGCCTTCAAGACTTCTCGAAGGCTGCACCGTTCCTGTGGAACTCGCTTCCCTCCTCCGTTAGATGCTCACCCAGTCTCCACTCCTTCAAAAAATCATTAAAAACCCACTTCTTCATAAAAGCGTATCAATTAAACTGTTAATAACTCCCGACTGATTCCTCTCTTGCAACTGTCATTGGTCTAATACTATCCTTACCTTTTGTGTCACTTCACCCCACTCCCTCTAGCATGTAAGCTCATTGAGCAGGGCCCTCAACCCCTCTGTTCCTGTGTGTCCAACTTGTCTGGTTACAACTACATGTTTGTTCGTCCACCCATTGTAAAGCTCTGAGAAATTTGTTGGCGCTATATGAATAACATAATAATAATAATAATAATAATAAGTAGATAACTTAGAACAACAAGGCTACCAGACCACATGATGTGAGAGTTTTATGCTATAACCCCCTGAGAAGTCAATGAATGCAAAAAAGATGAATAAAAAATAATGCAAACGCAAAGTAAAAGCACACCCTCTAGTGGCTGAAAAAAAAAAAGCATGTAGCTAAAATATCTAAACTATAGCCGCAAGCTACAAGCTTAGTGGTGAAAAGAAACAGCATGCATATGACATCCTACTGTATACATTAGCATTAAAAAAATAAAAACACTCAGAATTGGTCACTTAGAACAACATGGCTTCCAGACCACATGACATGAGAGCTTCATAATACAGATGGCAGGGCATATGACATAGTTTTTGCAGCAGTTAAATGCAAACATACAGCATCAATGTTTCAGATCAAATGGTAGGTTGGCAGGCAGGCAATGTTTATCAAATCCATTCGATCACAAATCATGTAAGTATACACGTTAATCAAGGCAAATTAAATGTACTGTGTCAAAGTTCTATTCATTACCATAAAAATGCCCCATATCAAGCAAAACAAGCAGAAACAATGTGGAATGAAGGAATAAACATATAGAAAGCATACGTTGATGCAATGTTCGGCAAAACGATGCATGTCTCAAAGAGATCATATAGTGTAAATACAAGTATCACAATATGTTTCAAAATCAACATGAGATTCACTGTTTATCTGAAAAGCATTGAGTAGGGCTGATTTTGTTGAGATCCCTTTGTGATAAAGTGTCAATTGTAAATATCTAGAATGCCTCTTTGCGGAGTACTTCCTGATTCCCATCTCCTCCATGGGCTAATTCTGGCACATACCAATACCCAATATCAATACCCATTCATTTCTTTCAGGGTAATGTGTGACCTGTTTCAAACATAGCATTACTTGCACAACCACATATGTGATCTATTGGATTATCTACCCATTTGGGCTTGTTTATATGGGAAAGACAATCAATGGCGTCTATGAGAGAACAAGAGGTCATAGGTCCGCTATCAGAACTGCATTACGCAAAGGAGAATCTAACTTCTCAGTGGTCAGACTTTTTCTAGAAGCAGGTCACACATTACCCTCCATGAGATTTATGGGTATTGACCAAGTCCCAGAATTAGCTAGACGGGGAGACTGGGTTTAGGTTTGAAATGCTCCCGTTTTCATATATATATTATGTGAATACTTTATTATTCATTAATTGGTTTAAATAATGGTTGCTCTAAAATGAGCGACTTCTTGCAGGCTTCATGCAGACTACTCTAGTTTTCCTAAATATGTGTGATGGTTTCTAGGTTATATTTTAGAGTTACATTTAAGAGGTGTTGGTGCAGTCTCTACTCACTATGACTGTCTGAAGAGCAACGTGTAGAAAATATAGTTAATTATAAAATAAAATAAATAACATGTCATGTGTTTCCATGGACAGAATGCATTATTCTGATATAAAATCTAACAAAGTATGAGTTTTGGAGTAAAATTCAAAGAAAAAAGGAAATAAAATGAATACATCATCTTTATATATAAACTAAAATCAGATGCTCAATCAATAAAAAGACAAGCCCAGAAAACTACCAAGATGTCAACAGACAGATTTTGCCTTTAAAGCAAAGAGTCAATAAAATCTTTCACAGTTGGTGCTATCAAATGCCAACGTAAGTTAGTGATTAATAATAGAAGTTTCATTTAAATCTAACAAGCAATTATGTTCTTCTATTTAATGTCAGTGGTGTGTTTAGTAAAAAACATATGAACAAAATAAAATAAAAAACACTCTAAAAGGCCTGCTTTCTATTTTACGACTGTTACATTTAACAATGATATACACTGATAAGCCACAATATTAAAACCACTGACAGTTGAAATGATTAGCGTTGATAATATTGTTGCAATGGCACCTGTCAAGACATAGGATATATAAGGCAGCAAGTGAACAGTCAGTTCTTGAATTTCATGTGTTGGAAGCCGGAATAATGTTCAAGCGAAAAGATCTGAGTGGCTTTGACAAGCACAAAATGGAGATGGCTAGACGATGATTGAGAGCGTCTCCAAAAAGTCATTTGGAGTGTTCTTGATATGCAGTGGTTAATACCTACCAAAAGTGGTGTTAGGAAGGATAACCGGTGTACCAGTGTCAGGGTCATGGTCACCCAAGGCTCGTTGAAGCACATGGGGAGTGAAGGCTAGCCTGTCTGGTCTGATCACCATAGACAGTTGCTGTGGCTCAAATTGCTGAAAAATGTAATGCTGGCCATGATAGAAAGATATCAGAACACACAGTTAATGGCAGTTTGCTGTGTATAGATCTGTGTAGCCGCATACCGGTCAGAGTGCCCATAATGACCTCTATCCACTGCTGAATGCGCCTTCAATGAGGAAGTAAGGGTCAAAACTGGACCATGGGGGGCATGGCCTGAAGTCTGACTAGCATGGACGCGTGAATCCCGAGCTTCTCACCACCAAGCCACTATAAGCTGTTTCCAGCCCTTTAGCTCACCCAAATGGGACGCACCAGGAGACCGGAGAACCAGCAGACCCCCAGGGCAGTACCACCAGCACCATCATTGGGACCGATGGACAGGTTTCTACAAACCCCTCTGGGTCCGAGCCGCGAGGCGCATGGATCCAAGATGGCGCCCGTCTCCCCGGCTTCCTCCTACTCGGAGCAGGAACATCCCACACTGGCAGATATCGGGGCAGAGATCAGGAGACTAGCAGCCAACATGGTCACAAAATTTGACCTGCAGTCCCTGACCGCCACCCTTACGGCATCCCTCACATCCGCAATCACCACACTACGCATGGACATAGAGGCACAGAACAGATGCATCCAAGCCTTAGAACCCCAGGCCCAAGCCACACAGCACCAGGCCTCAGCTGCAGATACAGCCCTAACAAGGCAGGGCAACATGCTACTGGCCCTGCGCAGACAGGTCGAGGACCTGGATAACCGGAGTCGCCGCTCTAACATCGGGGTAAGGGGGGTGCCGGAGCAGGAGGGGACTGAGAATGTTGAGGAGATGCTGACCGAGCTCTTCCACCAGATTCTGGGGAGCGACACGCCACCAGACATCCGCTATGAGCAGGCAAACAGGGCCTTGCGACCCAGGATTAGGGATGGGGACCCCCGTGACATTATTTGCGGCTTACACTAATTTCCCCTTAAAGAACGCATAATGCAGCAGGCCAGGTTCTGACCCATGTGGCGGTACCGAGAGGCAGAGGTCTCCCTGTTTAATGACCTCTCACCTACCACATTGGAGGCTAGGCGTGCCCTCAGACCCATCACTGCAGCACTAAGGGAACGCAATATTCCCTACAAGTGGAGTTTCCTATTCAGCATCCAAGTACGACACCGCAACGAATGGGTCACGGCACGCTGGCCAGAAGAAATACCACGTTTTCTCCAAAGGTTGGACCTGCCGCCCATAGCAGTCCCGGACTGGATACTGGAACCACTAGACCAGGAACCCAGACCTCAGAGACAACCACGGAACCCACGGAGGGGCCCTAGAGAGAACCAGGCATACGCTGCACCCCCTCACCCATCCAACCCAGAAGAATAAATGCACCCCGCAGGTAACCACCTCAGTTCAACCACATTGCCTGAGAACCGGACGCACGAGACGGTATAGACACACACAATGACCCACGTACACTGTATAGACCCCCCTGATCCCAGACGACCACTTCGCTGGCTGTTTGGGGTAATCACACCCACCGTACCTTCTGCATTTTGGGTGGGGAACGGGAGGGACGAGATATACCATTAACCACAGGGGAAGGGACTGATGGACGCCAATTTGAAGGGCCTGACCGGCCGTGCCCGTTGCCAGAATCTCCCACTCTATGCCACCTTTCCACAGCATATGGCCCACAGGGGAAGCACCAAAACTGGACTAAATTGGGAGGGGGGTAGGCATGTGAAAGCCTTATGGTGGGTACTGTATGACTGAAGGGACACGTACCGGCTCACCTAGAGGGACCAGAAACCTCACCTCTATCATGCCAACATAGGAGACCGATCCACTACAGCGAACACCCATGCTAGCAGCAACTTTACTTGATGGAGGACTCATGCCTACAGGTTCAGGGGGGATGGTAAATGGAAGGGGGACAAAGCATTAAGGGTCTGTCGGGGGAGGCGGGAGGGGGGAAACAAAACACACAGAAATATATGTATATGCATAGGGGGTAATATGAATCCTACAAGGGCCAAGAAGCCGGGACTCTGGACCAAAGAACCTGAAGTTAGAGGAGGGGTGGGGAGAGGTGGGGAAGGGGTGGGAAAGATAATTGTATAACTACCTACTAATGCTCGCACTGTTAACTATGTCAATGATGTTAGGAGCTGCGTGCCCGACTTATTGTGTTTAAATTTTGCACTCAATAAACAGCTTTGAGAACCAAAAAAAAAATAAAAACTGGACCATGGAGCACTGGAAGATGTTTGTCTGGTCTGATTAATCATATTTTATTTTGAGATTAGGTGGCTGGCCGTTGCTTGTGTGTCTTTTATTTAAGAAAGAGATGGCAGCAGGGTGAACTATGGGAAGAAGGCAGGCCAGTGGAGGCAGTGTTATGCTCTGGGAAGGTTCTGCTCCTAAACTTTTGGTATTCATGTGGATGTTACTTTGACATGTACCACCTTCCTAGAAATTACATAGTTGCATAGTTACATATGCTGAAGAGAGATATGCGTCCATGAAGTTCAGCCTTTCTCACACCTGTTATTGCTGTTGATCCAAAAGAAGGCAAAAAAACTAGTTTGAATCACATTCCAATTTTACAACAAACTTGGAAAAAATCCCAGAACAGCAGTTAATTCTCCCCTTGGATCAAGAAACTATTACCACACAAACTAAAATTCATATCCATGAATACTATGTTATTTCAAGTATTCATGCAGTTGCTGTTTAAACATTTGTACATACTCTGACAAAACAACCTCTTTAGGCAGAGGATTCCACATACTTATTGTTCCTAGTGTAAAAAACCCAAAAAACTTTCCTTTGCATTGGACTAAATCTCCTTTATTTCTATAAGCACGGACTCATGTCCTATGTATAGTCCTATTAATGAATAAATTTCCAGACAATGGTTTGTATTGGCCCCAAATATATTTGTATAATGCTATCATAACCCCTTTGAGGCACCACTTTTCTAAACAAAAGAAATTTAAATTTGTTAACCGTTCTTATAACTAAATAATTCTATTCCTTTTATTAATTTTGTGGCACGCATTGCACTTTTTATAGTGCCATAATACCATTCTATAGAACAGGTACGAAAAATTTCAAAGCTTTTTTAAGCTGTGGTCTTGATTTAGTTCATTCATAAAGAGACAAGATTTTATTTTCATGCACCTTGTTATACATGACAATACCTTGCTGGCCATAGGAACTGATGATTGATATTGTTGACTAGTCTGTTGTCTATCACTATTCCCAAATCATTCTCATGTGTTGTTATCCCTAATGCACTACCATTTAGGGTGTAAGTTGCTTGTACATTCTTTACCCTGAGGTGCATAACTGCATTTATCTACATTAAATTGTATTGCCATTTGAGTGTCCAGTCCCTTAATCTACCTAAATCCATCTGCAGCAAATTAATATCCTCCTCACATTTTTCTACTTTACAGAGTTTTCTGTCATCTGTAAACACCGAAAAATATCTTTCAATCCTTATTTCAGAATCATATTTAAATATGTTAAACAGAAGCGGTCCCAGAACAGAACCCTGATGGACACCATTCACCTCTTTTGTCCGCTTTGAAAATGTTCCATTAGTGACAACTCTCAGTACTCTGTCTTTAAGTCAATGTTCTACCGAAGAATAAGACAAATTTCTTTTAGTTTGAACACTAACCTATCGTGCGGAACCATATTTAACGCCTTGGTAGAAGGTAGATCTCATCTACTGCAACCCCCTGATCTATACTTCTACTTACTTGCTCACATTATGTTAATTTAGTTTGATATGACTTATGTTTCATAAAACCATGCTGAATATTATTAATAATGTTCTTCACAATGAATTTCTGAATATTATCCCTCAATATCCCTTTGAATACTTTTAGCTACTTCATTGTAGAATGCAATTAAAGTTAGTTTGAAATGACTTATGCTTCATAAAACCATGCTGATTTTTGATAATAACAATGTTCTTCTCAATGAATTCCTGACTATTATCCCGTATTAACCCTTCAAATACTTTCCTAATCACCTAAGTTAGGCTCACATGTCTATACTTTCCAGGCAAAGAGTGTGAGCTATTTTTGAATATAGGAACCTCATGTGCCTTTCTCCAATCCTCCAATACAATTCCCGAAAGAAAAGAATCCTGAAAGATTAGAAACAGAGGTTCACTTATTTCCACACTTTGCTCCTTAGGTACTCATGGGTGAATATTGTTTACATTAACTTTCTTTAGTTGCTGCAGCACCTTGTCTGGGAGTTGCTCCCTTGCAGTTTCAGTCAGGAGAGAGAAGCAGGGATACGATGTAGCTTACAGGGGTGGGGGGAGGTGGGGGGAAGTGCCCTCTCTCACCCCCCCTTGCAGATGCACATGCTAACATACACAAATAAAAAAATATATTTTTATTGGGGCTTTATACTATGAAGCAGTCTGCAGAGGTTGCTTCAACCAGATGCCATAACTTGGATGTGATCTTTATAGCCTTGTTATATCCAGGAATTGGGAAATATATTTCTTCTGATACCTTATCTAGGAATACCCTTACACCAGGAATGCCCAGACTATAATGCAACTGCCCGATGCGGAAAATGCATATACACGGTTCGTTCCACAGACTCTGCATTATTGTCCTTTTTAAATAACCTGTAAGGCAGGGGTGCCCAAAATGTAGATTGCTAGATGGTGTAGAACTACAACTCCCATGATGCTTTCCATGCCTTTAGAATGACAAATAGTGATGTCCCGAACGGTTCGCCGAACTGTTCGCCACGGACGGCGAACATAAACATAAACTTTGACCCTGTACCTCACAGTCAGCAGACACATTCCAGTCAATCAGCAGCAGACCCTCCCTCCCAGACCCTCCCACCTCCTGGACAGCTCACTAAGAATGCAGCTTCACAATGAATGTAAAATGGATGCTGTCCAGGAGGTGGGAGGGTCTGGGAGGGAGGGTCTGCTGCTGATTGGCTGGAACGTGTCTGCTGACTGTGAGGTACAGGGTCAAAGTTTATGTTTATGTTCGCCATCCGTGGCGAACCGTTCGGCGAACCATTCGGGACATCACTAATGACAAAGCATCATGGAAGCTGTAGTTCTACCTTACCTAACTATCTTTTGGACACCCGTGCTGTAAGGTGCCGTAAATGTACCTCTCTGTTCTATCCCCAAATACGGTAGCGCAGTTCAATTTTGCTTGTGTGTCTCCACCAGACAGTAATTTAAACCAGTGCATCCTCTGTCCCTATGCTGATAGATGCTTTCTCTGTCATATTATAAACACAACATTTGTTTGAGTTCTTTTTCTGCAGTACCTTCTTCGAGATAAACAATGCTATTCTCCACAGGAAGCACATCAATCTACTCTGTTTTGATGTTTCTTTTGAAAAGCGGTGTACTTACTTAGTTCTACGCATCCTGTGAAATTAGGAAATTACAGGTTTTTTGGTTTTATTTATAAGGTGTGCCCTATTTCTTTTTACAAAACATGCTTTTTACTGTATCTATAACCTGCCTTTTCATACACCTGTTATTTAAAAACAAGAAGAAAAAAAAGAAAAAAAGGAATAATTATTTACTTCCATACAGCTTTTGAATAAAGTAAACACAAATAATTAAATTATACCAATGGCACCAGCTGTCGGCACTTTCTTCGTGTATACTTTCAAACCTTTTCATTTTGCAGTCAGTTTCATTTTGCAGTCAAGTTCTTTGCATTACATTACATTTGCATGTTCTCAATCAATTTAAATAAATTTGCATATCCATGTATTGCTTTTTTCACTAGCAAATTTTTAGAGCAACTTAATGAAATTTATAAGGGTGCAAAGGATACAAAGAATTAGCTCTTCTTTATGGATCCCCTAGACATGAAGACTTTGTCCATATTTTATCATTAGAAGGTTATGTGGTTTGGTATCCATGCTCTCGTCATGAATCTTATTAACCCGTTAAG